CCTTCTTTTTCCGCACCCTCTTGAGCCAATCCAGTGACTCTTCAGTGTCTCTGCCCTCCTTCTTGATCTTTGTTGTCCGCAACTCTGAGTTCAGCAACTCTGAAATTCAACATGGAGTTTTTTGAATCTGGGCCAACGCATGGACTTCTACCTCAAAGTATTGTTGAAGTGTCAAACTAGGCACTGCTTGATACACATTTGGTCATATGAGACTTCCTAATTACAGCTTTGGAGGCAAAACACCACACGCAAGCTGTATATAACTAATGTACTCCACAAACCAACATATTAGCAATGTGTACTTGGCTCAATGATTAGAGCATCGCTCATGACTGCAAACGTTGTGGTACAAGTCCCACAGTTCACAACCTTCCTTTTCATTTGTTCAATAAGTATTCCAGGGAGACGTCGACGAAAACGGGCTGAAGAGGTGGAAGGATTGGACCTCGATCGAAATATCACGCAAAGGCTCATGAAGAGCGTCCTACGTGCTCGAAAAATGTCTGACTTTCCTGATCCCATTCAAGTCGAGCACTTTCTAAAGGCGTTTAGCCAAGAGTCTTCCAAGAATTGTCAACAAAACAGTTTGAACAAAACTAAGTTAAACTATAGTTCGCCACGCCTAACCGAGATGGAAGACGTCGTGGGTGTGATCTTAAGCTCGTCGTCGGATCGGAGACTCAAAAGAGAAAACCTCATCAGACTGCAAGACCAAGCGACGGAATTGTTCGATACGCTGAAGCATGAACTCATTGCCCAAGTAGAAGATATCTACGACGATGAGGACGAGGATGACGATGATCGGACAATCGACAGCTTCAGCCTCGACGAACTTAGCCTTACTCACATCCCCAACCAAACCCTGGTCGCTCGAGCCCTCGCCGGCTGGTTCGTTGCCAATGAGGCCAGTCCAAAGCTCTTCGGCGTCCATAGCTTTGGTCTTGTCTGTTTACAAATGCTGTGCTCTGAGCTCAGAGTCTAACATTTCCACATCCCAACATTTTTTTCTTGGTCTACACAACTCGACGCTTATGTGCTGCCCCCTTTTCCTTCCTACCCTACGCTCTGCTTCTGATAAGTGTACCAGAAGAAATGTAACAAAAATAAAGAAATCAAGCAAAAAAAGAAGTGTCAGGAAAAGAAACAACGAAAAAAAAAAAGAATGACGCAAGCATGGAACAAGTCAGCAAAAAAAAAAAACAATACATCCCATTGCGCACTGCACCTGACAAAAGAAAAAGACAAACAGATTTTCCATCTCATACAACGGACCACCTTGTAATAAATACTGTCCACTCTGCCCACCTCACATGTTACTTGTCTGTCTTGAACCTATGCTATGTTCATCAACATCATATTATTCTTGCTTCAGTCGGGCTTCCGCATGGAATCCGTTGGGAAGAGTGCGGACTGAGGAGGAGGCTCAACACAGATAATCCAAAACGTGTGACGAGGCTGCTGCTGAGATCCGAAGGCTGCTTGACGTTCTGGCCGCATGTATCGCAAGATATATTTACCTGGACTGAATACCTGTTTCATCCTTCGAACAAGTCCCAGATTCGTTTTCCAAACACGAAAGCCGTAACATCTATGCATGCTCCTCCTCATGAGACTCGATGACCCTCCGGGACAATAGGAGGAAAAGAACAAGGCCATCATCCATTTCCACGAGAATACATCTCTAAAAACAAGCCATGGCCGGAGGACAATCACCCCACCTGGCTTCTCTCAAATAGAAGACACCGGATGAAACGCATTAAGATCCTTACATGCCCAGTGAGATTAGGACGTATACCGAGCCATGGCTACGAGTAGTGTTCCAGTTTAAAGCGTTACTCTCTCTCTTCGCAGTCCTGCCGAACATTGGGCGAAATAATAGCTTTGTGCCACCATTGCGAAGGTACCTTCAGATCATTCAGAATGGAAAGATTGCTCAAGTTCTTCATCCTCGTGGCATCGCACCTCCACTTCCTCACAGCGACCGGGACACAAGAGGTCTCTAAGTGGCTCGAAGGGGAACCGTCACAGAGATCAGGGTTGGATGGGTTCCAAGATCTCCAGAAACAGCTCAATCCAGGAGCTCCTCGGGAGCCATCTCTTTTACCACTATTTCCAATTGCACCTGATCCTCCACCAGAAATACGAGAATCTCCACAACCAACACTAATAGCACCAACTGTGCAGACTCCCATAATAGTCGGTTTGTTAAAATATTTTATGCAGTCTCAATAGTTCTGGCCATGATAACCGTGCTGACCATCTGTAAGCCTCGTACTTTGCAGGGAATGTCGCCGCAAGTCCTCGTAGCGAAATACCACAGTGGGATTTCAATTCTCCTCTGCCGCGCTTCTCTCTATTTACAGGTGCGTCCACAGCCAACGGCAAAGAAGGTGGGAGCTCCATGCAAGCCGCAACGGTAGGACCAACAAGATACCACCCGCCCACTCGAACTGGTATGTCAGTCTTGTTCTCTCAAGAAATTTTGGTCACGCCTCTCATGTTCTTTGATCCCATCTTTTTTTTTCCCCCTTCTTTTCTTTCAGGTGCTGCTGCCACGGGAGGCGATGCTGCACAACCGATACATTTCGTTCAATCAGGCCGCGATACCAGGAAGGTCGCGTGTCAACAGCCAGCTTCCAAGAGATATCGACTAGACCTCAATCCAGAACTCCCGCAATTCCCTGCTTCTGGCCAGGGAACAACCAGATTACCTGGCTCAGCGCCTTCTCAATTTCTTCCCTGGTACTTGACTGATGGCAATAATAAGCCAGTGTCCTACCAACTTGGAGCGGCTAGCTTGGCAGATCCTGCACCTCCGGCACCCCTACCTTTTTACTCCTATAATCGCAATATGCCACAGTTCTACCCAATGGAAACGGAAGCATTACCACGCCTTGAGAATCCGCCACCTCCACCTTTTTCCTCTAGTGGTGGTAATAGGCCGAGACCTTTTCAACTGGCAACACAAGCATTACCCGCCTCCGCGCATCCGGAAGAGTCATCCGTATATTCTAACGGTATAGGCTCCAAGTTCTCTAAAGCGGCGTGAAAGAGAAGCTGATGCGTATCTTCTCTTTAACGTCCCATATTGATCAAACCAATCACATTACAATCCTTATTGTGGCGCAGATATTCAATCCCCAAGTTTTAACCGCCTCCAGCGCGAGAGGGCCCTGAAAGCTGCAGCCCCTCAAGTGGGCCCACCTCCCAAATACGGTAGCGCGTCAGGCGTGGGGAATGTCAACGTGATTAGTACTGATACTTCGTCTTCTGGTATTGATGGCACGGTGAAAATTTCAAGGGACTCAAAGACAAGGCCCACTCTTTTAGATGATCGACACGCCGTGGAGAATAACGCTGCGACCTCAAACCTCAGGAAATCAATACAGCAGGTCACCTCAGATTCCTTAGCTTGCTTTCCCTCAACAGCCTGGGCGTGGGTTACGATAATTTGGATACGAAACAAGGATAATGCAATTTCGGAAACGGACGAACACTTTCGTCAATCGTTTCCCCAATCAATTTCCGCATGCCTCAGTCGTCATAATTCTCAACACGAAGCGTCAAGCTCAGGAAGTGCTGCTTTGGGGACCTCTGAGCCGATTAAATTTGTTTATCTGCTGTGGGCTATCAACATGAGAGCTTTAGAGCTTTTGAAAGGCGAACAGCAAGTACCCACTTACCTTGACGAGCAGAAAGACTTCATGAAGTGGTTCACCGATTTCATGACGAATTGCAAGAACCTGGGCCATTGTTCTGATCCGAAAGGAGATTTCCTCCATGAAAAAATTATGACAGCATTGGATTCCAAAGACGACGACGCCAGATTTCTAATTATCCTGCGCGAGATTCACCGACCACATTATACAGTCACAAACAAACAGGCATTGATGAATGAAGCTGCTGTTCGTGCTGTCACGCGTTACCACAAAGAGAAAAATGCTCGGTTATTCAAATTCTATCAAGATATTGGCTTCGTCAGAAAACTGTCAGAATTCAGCAACATGTGGTCCAAGAGATACGTCCCACGCCCCGGAAGAGCGCTGCACTTCCCGTATCAAAGATTCCAAAAGGCTCAAGTGGAGAACCATGTCAAACCCATCAATCTCTCCCCAGGCGAGCCAATGGAGCCACTTGTGCTTGAAGATCCAGAGCCAAGAGTGTGGACATGGCTTTCAGGCTTGAAGTCACGCATAGAACAGCTAGTTGAGGAAATTACGACCCCGAACAACATCCTCCAGGTTTACATCAAACAAATTACACGAGAAGCCCAGAAAAAAGCCACGTATGAACCAGCAGAATGGGAAAAAAGACTTTATGGTCTTATGTGGAACATCAATGGCTCAGTTCTCGAGGCTATGGGATTTCCTGGAAGTGATGCTGATTTCCTCCAACAGCAAGCGAAGACTCGAGCCTTCTTTGATCAAAGTTTATCCAAAAAGGAGTCCAAGAGATTGGAGGCTGAAGCGCTTGGGAAGAACACTAAAATGGACAAGTTCGATGAGTTGATGAAGAAGTGGGTATTTACGAAGAGCAAGCAACCTGTCTTCAAAATCAAACAAGGCTACGGAAGCAATCCAGGTTATTCTTTTTCGTCCAACCAGGACATCATCTTGGCAGAAATCGTTGTGAACATAATTGGAAGCTATTACAAGACTCAAAACATGGAGAAGTGGATTACCCTGTTCGGAAAAGATGCAAACTTTGTTAAATTTTTAGTCAAGCTCAGACTCAAACAGACCAACACACTCGGCTTAGACCGTACCCAAACAAGATTTAATTCTCCCATTGAACAACTTGAATTATTTCCATGGGAAAAGAAGACTAAACTTTTGGATGGAGAACTACCCGAGAACGCTCAAAGATTATTCCAACGCCCCTGCAGGCTTCTATTGGCTAGCTGGATCGAATATGTTCAGCACAAGTCTACCAGAAATTAAACCTCATGCTCATTTTCACCCTTGTAAATAGCCAAGTTTCGTGAATGCTTGGTGATCATACGAGCGACTCTGATGCAAAGCTCTGGAATTTTTGTATATAGTTGGTGATGCCTATAGGCTGCCACAATATTATAAATCAATAATTCAGAAATGTTCAGGAGATCAGCCAGAATAACTGGCTCTATAATTTTCTCATTGAAGTTTGTGCTGTTCCTTTGAGATGTATCTTACTCTTCATCATTTTTCAGAGTGAAACAACAACTTTTTTGGTTTTCAAAAAAAAAAAAATTTTTTTAGATTGCCCAAATTAAGCCTGCAGGATCGTTGATTCAGTGGGATCGACAACATAGAAAGGGTTAAGTGAAGGGAGGGAAAAGAAAAGGCCAAAGATCTGAAGGAAAGCCAGGGAGTGGATTGGGGCGGGGCA